ATGGTGTAATGGTTATGTCACTGGACTCCCATGTAGTTGACCATGGTTTGAGTCCTAGACCCAGCAGCTTAAAACTGACGCCAGGCACATGTGCGTGGGTGCCCAAAATTCTGAGAGGAGAATGGAGGAGAAGAGGTTGTAAAGTAACCATCCACCCAGGGAAGTGATTTCTCGCTTTCTGTCTTCTCTGTCTCTCTTGGTCTCTCTGGCAAGTGCACAGGCCCTATAGCAAAAAATCGCTCTAAAAAATAAATAAAATTTAGCATAGTGTTACAAATCCGTGAAATGTTACTGCAAGAGCATTGTTTCTGAATAAACTGATTTTAGGATGCTGTGGAGAGTCTTAATATAGTTAACTCAGTTGTCAAAAACCTGCCATCCAATTAAGTACTAGAACTGTTAAAATTTAGGGAGAAAAATCATGAAAATTAAGAAAAATTGCTCTAGAAAAGTCTTTAAATTCTTGTTTAAAGGAATATTTTAAAATGAGTGGAGATTGTAGATGCTGCATTGTACAACACAGGACCTGCTTTGGACTTGTAACTTTCGTCACTGGACCTGCACTAATAGATAAGACTATGCCCTGTGCATTTACATACAGTTAAAATAAAATGTTTGAGGTATATACATGTGGCAGTCACTTATTACAGTTTAACAAACCATACCAAAGATCGAAGGCCTGCTTATCACTTGTCATGGTACTGATGTTCTTTCGCTTTTTTTTTTTTTTTTTTTTGCTATAGGGCGTGTGTGCTCGCCAGAAAGACAGAAAGCGAGAAATCACTCCCTAGGGGGAATGGCCACACTGCAATCCCTTCTCCTCCATTCTCTTCTTGGGATCTTGGGCATGTGCACACACATGCTCCGTGTGAGTTTAAGCCACCGGGTCTAGGACTCTAACCACGCTTAACTACATGAGAAACAGCAACATAGCCATTACCCCAACTGCTGGTCCTGAAAATCTACTTTTTTAAAATTTACTTTTGTCTTAAAAAATGAGAATATTAGTTAAAAAAAAAAATGTTTGAATGTTTATTCCTGAGAAGTAACCAGTTTGTAAAGATCCAATGCTTCGAGTCAATGCAAAATTTAATGAATGTTGGATAAGCTTCAGGTTTGACAGTTCATTTGGAGGTTAGCTGATACATGTTCAGCTTTAGGCTGACAATAAGATCAGCTAACTGGACCAGCAGATGGTGTAATATTTACGTTGCTGGATTACCATGTAGTCGACAATGGTTCGAGTCCCAGACTTGGTGGCTTAAAACTCATGCGGGCATGTGTGTGTAGGTGCCCAAAATCCTGAGAGAGGATTGGAGGAGAAGGTATGAGGTTTGGCCATCCCCCTGGGGGGGTGATTTCTTGCTTTCTGTCTGTTTCCTTCTCTCTGGTGTGTGTGTGCCTTATAGCAAAAATCTCTCTAAAAATTGAAAAAGATCAGCTAACTTACAATAAATTGGCTCTTGAGCATGAACTAACCACACAGCCTCAGACTTAGCTTAGTTCTCTTTGATACTCCTGAATGCCAAACAAGTTATACAAGCTCTCAAAGAAAAGAAAAGCCTAAGAAAAGCCATCCCCTCCACCCATTCACCATTCCCTTTCTCCTGTAGCACAAAGCTCCTTTAATTCTTACCTAGTAGAGAATGGGTTAGTGGGGGAGGCAGAGGTGGAGGCCCTGTACTTACTCCGGTGAGTACAGTACTTCATAAAGGAATAAAATAGCCTGGGTTTCTAAGGACATTGCTATAATAAAAAGCCTTTAATGAAGCTAAAGGTTTTTCTTTTTTAATTAAAAAAAATTTTTAGAGCTTTTGCAGAACCACAGATGTTTTTGAGCTCATCTAGGCTGGCGTCGTCGTTTTACAGATGCGCTATTTCAGGCACCATTGTGGTTTACCTAGTGTCTCAGAGCAGGACTATTTAACCCTAAGTTACTTGAATTTTTGTCTTGTTTTCTTTCTACACATTTTTTATTTGAAAACCATACTAAACCTTCTTGGATTGAGTTTAAGAAATACTTCTCTCAGACAGGATTCTAGTGTAATATGAATAGTACTTTAGCAGACTTTTTATGTTAAAAGAATGAAACATTATTTTATGTAACTGTCCGAAGTTTAGTAGCAGAAAGACATTTCACACTTGTAGGTTTTAAACACAAGAAAGGCAAATGTTTCAGGGCAGCTGGTGGAGGCCTTGAACAACTTTTCCTCATCCAAAATGATTGGTATCCACGTGAACCTTCTGAGCCAGCCAGCGGACTGCATCAGCTCATCTCACGTGAGCTCTGACCAAATGAGCTTCTGGGTGCTTATGGCTAGTTAACCGAAATGATGCAGGCTTTGTTGAACTTACCACTAGTATTTATTTTCCTATTCTGAAGAAAAGGAATAAACTTTTGCTTGATTTTTTCCCCCCTTCTGTTATATATTACTTTAAGTGAAAACTCCCAAACTACTATAAGTTGTTTTTCTCTGGCTGTTGCTAAGATGTTTCTCTTTGTCACTGTTTTCAGCTATCAGATTATTAGAAAAGTCATGATGTATTTTTGCATAGAAAAATGTCATGAGTTTTCCAAGACCCAATGTTTGGTTATGATATGCGTAATAAAAGAACTGGTAGTCCTTTTGTATTTCAGAGTTTATTTTAATTATTACTTGAGAAAGAGCCATCCCCCCCAACAGGACTTTTACACCACCCTCCAGCCTCAGACAGCCAGGATACAGACACTCATGTAATGTACACGCAGAGGGGACACCTGGGACACGAACCCAGGACCTTCCCACGTGGCTTCTGCACTGTCAAGTGTTGCATTACTGCTGCATCACCACAGTTTTCTTTGTAACTCAGCTTGGAGTTCACTGAGCTTGTTGGATCTGTGAACTTAAATTTTCTTCAGATTTGAATATTTTTTAGGACTTCGTGGACGTTTTTCTGTACCTCCCTTGTTTGGCTGTGGACTCAAGTTGAACATGTTACATTGCTTGGTGTTACTGTTCCATGGAATCTTGATCTCTCCTCCTCCCTTCCCCCAATCTGCTCTTTGTTTTGGATAGCTTCTTTTGTTATATCTTCACGTTTACTGGTATTTTCTTTTGCTGTATCTACTCTATTAATCCCATCTAGATTTTTTTTTCATTTCAGATTTTTGAAAGATTTACCATAGGGTATATGCGCTTGCTGGAGAGAGAGTGAGAGAGAGAACATGAGAAAGCATTCCCACAGGGTATGGCCATGCCACCGTCCTTTCTCCATTCTCCTTTTGGGATTTTGGACATGCGTGCACACATACCCAGTGTGTGTTTGAAACTGCCAGGTCCAGGGCTCGAGACACAGTGGGCTGCATGGGATCCAGCGCCTTTACCGCAGCACTACTGGCCGGCCCCCAGATAGTTTTTAACCTAAGTTCTACTTGAGTCATTTATTGTCTTTCTAAATTCTGAAATATTTCACAGTACAGAACTTATAGATTCTGAACTAATCTTCTTATTACTTAGAAAGTTCCAGTGATGCAGGCTTTGCCCACCCAGGAATGCTAGGCCGTGTCCCTTCTCACAGTTCACATCCCTGCTCACTCAGAGGGTGTGTTCTGAGACTTTCAGTTTCCTATTTCACATCTGACTTCCATTTATTCTGATATTCTTGTCAGGCTTTGATGAATTTAACTGACTAAACATTTGTGATGTGGTCTTCTCCTGATTATCTTTCTGATATGTGAACTGTATTGTTGTGGGAAAGCTCTGACTTGTTTTAAAGAGAGATTTTTGCTGTAGAGCACGTGTACTCTCCGGAGAGACAGAGACAGAAGGCGAGAAATCACCCCCGGGAGAATGGTCACACCGCAATCCCTTCTCCTCCATTTATTTTGATGCAAAAAGCACAAAATCCATGCATACTTCTTTCATTATGTGTGTTTTTCATGAGCTTTTTGAAGACTCATATTTGCTTTTATTTTGTATTTAGTTTGTTAAAATGTTTGCAAAAGTAGAACTTTAATAAAGCAGTGATATTAAGAAGGTGACTGAGGAATTGCATTTTGCAGGTGAAGAGAAATGAACTCTTTTTTCTTTTCCACAGCATCCTTCCCCGTACCCTCCCCTGAACTGTGCTGTGGTCCACTTCCAGCTTTTCTCTTTTTGTTCATGCCACAGCTCACATGTGCTCTCCAGAGAGAGACAAAGTGAGAAATCACCTCCTAGGTGTGTGATCCTGCTGCAATCCCTTCTCCTTCATTCTTCTCGCAGGATTTTGGGCATACGTGCATATGCACTTGGTGTGATTTTCAAGCATCTGGTACAGACTAGAACAGTTTTGGGTGTGGCCATGTGGAAGTTCAGCGCCTTAACTGCCGTGCCACCTACTGGCCTCCCTCCCAATTTTTTATTGTGTTAAAATTCATTTAACATAAAATCTAATAGTTTTACTGTGTTTCATTGGCGTATTGGTTTAAATACATGCATCCTGTTATCTGCACTGTAGTTTTTATCAGATAACTTAAGAGTTGACTGCTGTGCTGACATGGGCCATAGCGAAATGTTTCTGTCCTCTGTTCTGTGTGCCTTGGAAAGAGAGGTCAGGGCCTGAAGTTCAGGGCAGGACTGAACTTGCCCACTCTTCACTGAAGCCAGCTCATAAATACATGCTTCCTTCTCTCTGCTCTGTATCTTCTAGTCCTTTTCTATTTTCCCCTTAATCTGTAAGTTTTTGGTTATAAACTTCCTTTATGTTAGGAAGAGTTCTATAGGCAACAGAGAGGCATGTCTGTTCTCCGTGTGTTCTTTTGATGGTTCACGGTAAGGGCAGCAGCAACCACAATCCAGAGTCCCTTTGAATTAGACAAGATTTCTCCTTGTGTGTTTCCACAGGTAAAAGTAGAGGAGAGGTTATAAGGTAGAAGAGGCTTATAAATAGAAAAGTTTGATAAAGAGTTCTTTAAAAAATGGTAAGTATTTTAAATTTGCATTACCCGAGTATCTTACTGAATATTTTCTCTTTCATAGACAAGAATGCACACTGGGTGATGCAGCTTGCAAGAATCCTGAGTCTGATCCAGAAGACTTTGCAGATGAAGCAAATACAGAAAATCTTTATGGTACCTCTCCCCCCAGCACGCCGCGACAGATGAAACGCTTATCAGCCAAACACCAGAGGAACAACATAGGGAGGCCGGCCAGTCGCTCTAATTTGAAAGGCGAGTCTTATATGGAAAAAGATATACATGAGGGACTAGTAGGTGGCATGGTGTTTAAGGTGGTGGACTCCCACATGGTTGACCATGGTTTGAGTCCTGGACCCAGTGGCTTGAAAATCATGCCAGGCATGTGTGTATGCATGCCTAAACTCCTGAGAGGAGAAAGGAGGAGGAGGGATTGCAGGGTGGCCATGCCCCCTGGGGAGCGATTTCTCACTTTACTCCTCTCTAGCTTTCTCTGGCCAGTACACATACCCTATGCAAAAACAAAAACAAAACAAAACAAAAAATACAAAAGAAAAAGCATGAGAAGACACAGCACTTTTGATACCTAGTCTTTATGGGACTATTGATTGATCCTTTCTACAATAAGGTTAGTAATCCCCATTATGCTAAATATAATTCTAATGATTTCAAATTTTATTTGGAATTTTTAAATTATTGCTGTTAGCAGTTTTGTTAATAAAGGAACAAATCGTTCTTCAGAGATGAGTTGCCCTCAGCAGTGGTTAAAGTCAGTGTTGCGAAGCATCTGAGGATGTGGAAGAGGCCACGGGTTGCACTTCCCAGTGTGCTAATCAGGACGGCCACTGGTTACGTGAGAAAGACGGCTCTCTGTGTTCCTTTCATCTCTGAGGTTGAGGTTTCTCAGTGCTGTCTGTCTAGAACTGGAACACTGGGGATGTGTCGAGAGACAGCTGGGCCTCTCCACCTGGGCCTCTCCGGTGGTTTCCTCAGCCAGTCTGAGACTGCTCTGCCCTGACCTGCTAAGCACCTCCTTCCAGACAAAAGGATTGCAAGAAGAATGAGTTTCATTTTATTTATTTGCTTGAGTGAAGTCTAATTCAAAGAGGGACTCCTAAGGAGTCTTATCTTCCCACAGAAGATGATTTTCAAATTGTTTTCAAACTTGATTTGCAAGAGGGTGTTAGCCTGTAGCCTGTACTTACTTACCCTTTTGGTAATTGATAGCTTTCCAGTATAGTTTTACCTCTTGAAAATCAGTCCTTGTCTATTTTCTCAAATGTCCCAAACGCCTAGAGAAGTTTCTTATATGAAAGAGTTGTCAGTGTAGGAGCATTGGTTGAATCGATGCTAGTTAGCAACGAGTTGCTTAGTGGTGATGGCATGAGAAGATGCCGTGCATCCTCTTTTCCTCACTTGTTGGTTCATACTAGTTGAGAATGGGAGTTGAGAGCTCAGTTGCCCCACTGTATAGACTGTGGAACTGAAGCCCCAGTTTGAAAGCCGTTACTTCATGGCCAGAAGTATTGAGATGCTGGCAGGACGGTTTGGACCAGCAGTTCCCTTGTGCCCACTTTGGACTTTCCAGCATGAGCAGCGGGGTTGGCTGGTCCAAGGAAGGGCTGGAGTTGTGCCCTTTGGTTAGTCAGTCAGCAAGTCAGCAGGTACTCGTTAGCACCTTTGTCCTTCTGGGCGTGTAGGAGCGAGACGGGAGAGGGAAGGTTGTCTCTTCCTCCCACAATTTCTTTTAATTCTTTATTTCATAAATGACAGAATTTTAGAGCTGGATGGGACCTCAGAGACCATTTAGGCAAGGTCCTTGCCGTTTTTCAGATTAGGTTCATGGAGGTTTTGGTTATGGCTATTGAGTGACAGATCTGGGATATCAAAATCCTTAATCTTCAATTTACTCATTTTCTTACTACAAAAGATTACATGTTCATTTTAGGAAATTTAGAAAGTCAGACCAAAAAAATAAAAATCACCCAAAAACCCAATGCATAAGAATAACTTATTATCTTAACCTATAATATTTTAGCTTGCAAATATTTGTGCTGACATACTATACTTACTATTTTATAAATGGCTTCTTTTCTCATATGTTTTGTGAATTTTTTTGTCTATAGCCTGTGCTCTGAATGTAAATGGCTGCTGTGTCATTTGTAGCAGCATTTTGTAGCAGCATTTTCACAGTTATCGCTAATAATTTTTGAATGCTTATTTATGTGGTAAGTACTGTGCCTAGCACCTCCAAGAATTGTTTTGATAGAATAATAACCCCATGAGGTGTAGGTCTTGTAGAGTACTCATTTTACAGTTGAGGAGTCAGCTCAAAGAGTTTTCTGGTTTTGGTTTTAAGTGCCCTACTCCAGCATGTATTAGCAAGTTGACCACGTTTGCCATCTGGTCAATTATTTCTTGCTAACATTCTTGTTGACAGATACTAAGAAGAGGTGGAAATGAGCACTCATGTTGGGCAAGGGGACTATTGTGACATTTTGGTGGTGGCGTATTTGTGCCAGGATGGTGTAGTGGTCCTTGAGACCGACTTTGAGACTATCGCAGTGTAGCATGGTGTGCCAGGGCACAGACTTGGCTGCCGCGTTGCCTGGGTCTCAGTCTGGGTCGCCCACCTTCTGCACGTGCAGCCTCTGTGCTCCATTTTGTTTGTCATTTCTTTGTCAAAATAAACAGCCTTTTGGTGTCCGGAGGGTTAAATGTTCAGGAAGTGGTAGCCATTGTGGTTACTATTGTAAATTAAAGGTTTCTTTCCAGCACTTAACTACTCTCCTGGCCTGGAATTAAATAAATAAATGGTTTATATGAACCTATTAATTGGTGTCCCCACGTTCAGGATACTGAGTCTTACATGATTTTCTCAAGTCGAGTAGCTACTGTGCCCACATCTTGTCTTTCCCGTACTTCACCTGGTCTCGCACGGCCCTAGCTCTGATTTCTTGCGTGGTCCCAGTTCTGATTTCTCGTGGGGCCCCAGTTCTGTATTTCTCGTGCAGTCTCTATCTCTCGCGCCGTCTCTATCTCTTGCGCCGTCTCTATCTCTCGCGCAGTCTCTGATCTCTCGCGCGGTCCCAGCTCTGTATTTCTTGCGCCGTCTCTGATTTCTCGCTCGTGGTCCCAGCTCTGATTTCTCGCGCAGTCTCTGATCTCTCGCGCGGTCTGATTTCTCGCGTGTGGTCTCAGCTCTGATTTCTCGCGCAGTCTGATTTCTCACGCGGTCCCAGCTTTGTTTTCTCGCGCAGTCTCTGATCTCTCGCGAGGTCCCAGCTCTGATTTCTCGCGGAGTCTCCGATTTCTCGTGCAGTTCCAGCTTTGTATTTCTCGCGTAGTCTCTGATTTCTCGCGCGGTCCCAGCTCTATTTCTCGTGCAGTTTCTGATTTCTCGCGGGGTCCTACCTCTGTATTTCTCGCGCAGTTTCTGATTTATCGCGCGGTCTCAGCTCTTTCTCGCGCAGTTTCTGATTTCTCGCGCCGTCCCAGCTCTATTTCTCGCGCCGTCCCAGCTCTATTTCTCGCGCAGTTTCTGATTTCTCGCACGGTCCCAGCTCTCTATTTCTCGCGCAGTTTCTGATTTCTTGCGCGGTCCCAGCTCTGTTTCTCGCGCAGTTTCTGATTTCTCCCGCCGTCCCAGCTCTATTTCTCGGTTTATGTGCGCTGCTGTGCCTGCCTCTCACCTAATCTGCTGTTTTGTTAAGTCCCTCTTTCCGTGCTCCCCTCCTGTCCTCCTCTCCTTTCTCCCTTCCTCTGCTAGCCCTCTCTCTCTTCACTCCCTTTTTCATTTCCTCTCTGTTCTTCCTTCATTTCTCCTTTATCCTTTCCATTGAATTAAGTTTTGAGTGACTCCATAGGCCCGTGCTGCTTTAGATGGTACTGCAGACCTGGTCCCCTCCATCCTAGGGAGTGCACAGTCACTGCACCCCCTTGTGGGAGGGCTGGGATAGAGGCCACGTGCATGCACACACACCCAGCCATAGAGAAGACCTGGGGTTTGGAAGACTTTTGAACAAGTGACATTGGTGCTCTGACTTCAAGGCTGAGTCAGGGAGAACAGTATTTTAAACTAGCATGTGATTCATAATAATATATTGGTCCCTCAGTGTTTTGAAGAGATTTTAGAATCAATCAGATCGGGGAGCCAGCAGTTAGCGTAATGGCTATGTCGCTGGACTCCCATGTAGTCGATCGCAGTTCGCGTCCCAGACCCGGTGGCTTAAAACTCACGCCAAGCGCGTGTGCGTTTGTGCCCAAGATCCCGAGAGGAGAAGGGATTGCAGCCTGGCCATCCCCCCTGGGGGCTGATTTCTCGCTTTCTATCTCTCTCTCTCTGTCTTTCTGGCGAGCCCTATAGCAAAAACCTCTCCCCCCCAAAAAAAAAAATTAACAAAAAAATCCAAAAAATTATTAATCAGATTGGTCAAACTTAATTTAAAAAGCTTTCCAAGGAAACGCGAACTGGTACATACTTGTTTCTCACTGCCACAAGCACAGGCTCTCTGAGTCACACTTTTCATCTTTGGGACTGGACCCATCATTTAGCACACAGTTACCAATAGTGTCTGTTTTTCTGGTTATCTAGTGCAGTGTAACAAACCACCTTGAAACTTAGTGGCATAAAAGAACAACCATTTTATTGCTGAGGATTCTGTGGTTCCCATACTCAGGTGGGGTGCAGGTCATCTCAGCCCTATGATGTCTGGAGTTAACCCAGAGTGGCTCACTTGGCTGGAAACATTACCCTACCTTGAGTGGGGCCCTAAGTCTGAGCCCTCTGTTTTTTTACACATGCTGTCCTCAGGGTTCCAAATGTCCAAGATGATTTCTCAGACTAATATGGCAAGAACAGTTGAGGGCTGACTGGCATTGTCTTCCTCCCATGTGACCGTCTACATGGCTGGCCTGGGCTTCATTGCAGCATCCTTGTCTTGGTTGTGTTTCCTGGCCGCTGTTCTAATTCCAGGGGAAGTGATTTGAGATCAAGGTGGAAGTTGCACATCTTCTTATGACTTGGCCCCTGAAGTTCTGTGGTGTCACTTCTGCTGCTTTCTGGTAGTTACACGGGCTGGCTAGAATCCTATGTGTGCTCTCTCCAGTCCCTCTTCTTTGTGATTGCTAAAAGACCAGGAGCATCCCTGAAGCAGTAGAGGAACACTGAAGGCACCATGCAAAGGAGATAGTTACTAGGGATTCTGTGGGTGAGTTCTGTTTTTTAAAGCAATTGTAATAAAGTAATTATATGG